CATTGTTGTGTGGTGTTGAGTCAATTCTGACTCATAGCCACTGTGTATAGGGTTTTTGAGGAGTGGCTGATAGATTTGAACTGCCATCCTGTGGCGAGTAGTCCAGTACTTATCCTACAGTGCCTTGAGGACTTCAATTCATATCACAGGCACTTTATATTTAATTATATTGAAGACTGGGAACTTTTCTATACCTGTCATAAGTGTTGTATAATCTGGAGATTTTACAATTCCCCAGGACTCTCTGAAATGACCACAGGTCACATAATCTACTAAAACCCACTGCCACTAAGTCAATTCTAGCTCAGAGTGACTTTGTCTAGGGTTTCCAATGCTGTAAATCTTTACAGGAGCAGAAAGACTCCTCTTTTCCTCTCTGAGCTGCTGGTGAGTTTGAACTGTTGATCTTGTGGTTAGTAGTCCAGTGCTTATCCTACAGCACCACCCAGGGTTCCTTATGAGTTCCATAAGTGAGTATATCTTGCCTATCATCAAACTCATAAAGCTTTACCATGAGATCTCCCACTGAGGTTTGACATAACTTGTTCTTTCATGTTCACTCCAGGCATACCTGAAAAGCACGAGATGGGAGAGAGGTACATTTATAGGTAGTAGGAATGATGGTCCTGTTGTAGTTCTATAGGATAAGCACTGGACAGGTAACTGTAAGGTTGGTGGTTCAAACCCACCAGCTGCTCTTTGGAAATCCTATACAGGGTCATTATGAGTTGGAACCAACTCAATGGCACTTAACAACAACAACAGGAATGATGACTTTGTAGGATAAGCACTGGTTAGCAGTTTGAGCCCATCAGTCACTCCAAGGGGGAAAGATGAGGCTTTCTATTTCTGCAAAGATTGACAGCCTTGCAAACCCTTGACTCAGCACCAAACAAAACAACATCAAAAGAAATGATGGTAATACTTTGTCTCACATACCTTGGACATGTTATCAGGAGGGACCAGATCCTGGAAAAGGACATCGTGCTTGGTAAAGTAAAAGGTCAGCCAAAAATCCGTAAGACACTCAACAAAATGGAGTAGCACAAGGACTACAAGTGCAGACTCAAACATAGCAACGGTTGTGAGGATGGCGTGGGACTAGCTACTGCTTCATTTATTATGAGTTAGAACTGATTCAGTAGCACCTGATGCTAACAACAGCAGAGATGATCTGGCTCAACAGTCACATCTGCAAAAGGAAATTAAGTGATCAGTAAGCTAAGGATGTAGTGTGATTAGCCAATGTAATATTTCTAAGACGTTGTTGTTAGGTGCTGTCAAGTTAGTTCCAACTCATAGCAACCCTATGCACAATAGAACGACACATTGCCCAATCCTATGCCATTCTCATAATTGTTGTTATGTCCTGATACATTGGTGGTAGTGGTGGTGGTGTGTCATGGAATTGGTTCCAACTCATAGCGACCCAGCATAGGGTGTCCTAGGCTGTAAATCTTTACAGGAACAGAAAACCTCATCTTTCTCCTGTGAAACAGCTGGTAGTTTCAAACTGCTGACCTTGAGGTTAGCAGCCCCACTACACTACCAGAGCTCCTTGTTCTGATATACTATTGTTGTTGTTGAGTGCCATCGAGTCAATTCCAACCCATAGTGATCCTGTATAGGGTTTCCAAGGAGCGACTGGTGAGCTTGAACCACCGACCTTGTAGTTCAAATGGCTTTGCAGTCTGGTGCATTAACCCACAGTGACACACCAGGACTCCAGAGAACAGAAAACCAGGCCCCGCTGGGATTCAATCCCAGGATCTCCTGATATATTAGTCAGCTTTAATAAAGGCATAGAAATCTAGAACAAGAAAGTTGATAGTTCAAGCCTCACCTGCTTTGATCAGACCAACTGTCTGATTAAAGACAGAATTGGCACCACATAAAAGGGATATTTACAAATATCTGAATCAGAAAGAAAGAGCCAGGATCCCACTGGTATTGAGAAACTCCAAGGTAAACAGGGGACGAGGGAGGCATGGTGGCGGTGTTGGAGACTTAAATGGAATACTACCATCCGTTTACTGATGTGGATGTATGGTCTCTAAAGTAGTGAAGGACTATTCAGTCCTGGTGTGGCATTGTGGGTTAATGTGCCAGACTGCAAAGCCATTTAAACTGCAAGATCGGCGGTTCAAGCTAACCAGGAGCTCCTTGGAAACCCTATACAGGGTCGCTATGGGTCGGAACCAACTCAACGGCACTTCACAACAACAACAACAACAACAACAACATACGGTAAGGGGAGACCTGGTGTGGCACCGTGGGTTAATGCACTGGACTGCAAAGTCGATTTAAATCTCAAGGTCGGCGGTTGAAGCTCACCAAAAAGTTGCTCCTCAGAAACCCTATACAGAGTTCTTGTGGGTCTGAACTGACTCGACTTAACACCAGACGGCACTTAACAACAACATATGATGAAAGGAGTCCTGGTGTGGCACTACAGGATAATGCACTGGACTGCAAGGTCAATTTGAACCACAAGGTCAGCGGTCAAACTCACCAGTCAATCTTAGGAAATCCTTGACTACACTTAACAACAGAATATGGTGAAAACAGAGTCCCCACGGCATAAAAGGTTAAAATACTGGGCTGCTAACCCAAAGGTTGGAGATTTGAGTCCACCAAGATGTTCCTCAGACGAAAGTTCTGACAGTTTACGTCCCAAAACTCAGCCACTGAAAACTCTATTCTGACATACATGGGTCTCCATGACTCCGAGTCAAATGGACAGCAAATGGCTAATTAGATGAAAGAAGGACCAGAAGTACAAACTTCTGAAGTCATGTTCAGAATCTTTGCTTGGAAAGAAGTTTCTTATCATTAAAGTTATGCAGACAAACTCCTGAGGGAGTACATGAACTTCCTGCAAAGGCTGAGAGGCAGTTAGGCCATCCAAGCAAAGCAAAGGGGCTTGCACTAGGGTCCCTGAACACAGATTCTCTGTGTTAGCTCTGATGTTTGTGTGGATGAAAGAGCTCGTATACTGTCGGGTGAAGAGTCAAACCTACTGTTTTATTATCATTTTCTACAAGAGGAAGAAAAGTGTTCCGCTAGTGATTCTCTAGAGGAGTGTATCAGGCTGAAAACATTCAGGGGGACCTCTTCAGGGTCTGGTCCTCTGCTTTTCAGATGAAAAATCTCTGCTGCCTGTATATACATCTGATCAGCTTCTGGGACTAGCTCACAAGAAAGCCTGCAGGCTCACTGTTGTAAAACATTTCCACCTCCAGGACTGAAATATTTATGTCTGTTAAATTCTCAGCTAGATGCATTCTGAGGTTAGAATGGCCCCCTTGACCTCTAGGCTGGTGTCCAATCCAGCCCTCTGGCTTCAGAGTTGAGGAAAATGAGGCTCAGAGAGGTTAAATGACCAGCCCAAGAGATCTCCCAGTCAGTAGTCAGCACTCCAATCCTTTACTCCCTTTGGTAGCGTAGTGGTTACGAGTCGGGCTGCCAACCTCAAAGTCAGCAGTTCGAAACTACCAGTAGTTCTGCAGGAGAAAGATGAGGCGTTCTTCTCCAGTAAGGATTTACAGCCTCGGAAACCCTGTCACTGTGAGTCGGGACCAACTCCACTGTACTTAACAACAACAACAACCTGGCCTCACTGAGGTGATCAGCATCAACAAACTCTCATCCCCCCTCCTTGAATTCATGAGAAGTTTGTATTTTTAGGAAGCTCTTGATTCTAAATAGTCATGAGATAGAATCTCATTATTTAAAAAACACTTCCTGAATGGAAATGGTGACCAGAAGCAGAACCTGGGGAAGGGTAGGAAGGGTGTAGCAGGACTTTTTAAAGCCCCAGGTGCTCATCTGAAACCATAACTGTAGGCCCATGACACAGGTGTGAACGTTTACCACTGGGGACTCTCTGCTTGTCCCAGGAGAGTGAGCAGCTAAGCTTGTCGCAGGAACTGTGGCACAGGTTCCCAGTCTGGAATGTGGCTCCTCCAAGGGGCAGGACAGTGGAAACTTGTAGCCCTGGAAAAATAATGTCCATGGTGTGTTATCTTGGACAAATTGCCCATTTTCCGAACATTGATCTTCTCAATTGCATAACTGGTAGTTGCAACTATCTTGCAGAATTTTAAGAACATTTTACATGAGCTATCAACTGCAAAAATAATTACAGAAATGATCATCATTTGCGGAGTCCTGGTGTGGCACTGTGGGGTAATGCACTGGACTGCAAGGTCGGTTTGAACTGCAAGATCATCTGTTCAAGCTCACCAGCCACTCCTCAGAAACCTAATACAAGGTTGCTATGGCACTTAATGACAAAAAAAACCATCATCATTTGTAGGACGAGGATAGGCTTCCTGTTCCCCAAAGATTTACAACTTGTGGTTCAGTGCTTTATCCTACAGTATCACACCAGACACCAAACAGACATTAGTATCCCCCATTTTACAGGTGAGGAAACTTAGGCTCAGAGAGGTAAATATCATGGCCAACATTGCACAGATGTTATGATGCAGAACATTAATTCAATCTCAAAAGCTAATAGTGCTCTTTTCACCACACCAAATTGCCTAACATTCTACCTGATATCTGAGAAATGCTAAATAATGTGTAATTTAGTGAATCTTTCTTAAAAAGAGATGATTGGGATTCCTTCCCTCTCTAGATACACAAAGTCCCAGGCAGAGACTAAAAAGGCCCAAGAGAATTTGGTAGCTCCATTTCCAGAACATGAACTGTAGCACCAGGAAACTGTCTTGATCAAGCTCAGAGGGACAATGGTCAGCTCTGACAGGCTGTTTTTTCACCTGGAAAATTGGCAAAACAATCTCATCCCTCTCACAAATTTTCTTAGCATTAAGTAATACAGTAGTGTTAAGGAGCTAATTACTATAAGAAAAACATTAAAAACTGGGTGAGGACCTAGTAGAGAGAAAGTATTGAAAAGGAGTAGAAAAAAGGAACAAGGAGATAGGGGAAGGGTGATGGATAAGGGACAGAGTGGTGGGGAGGTTAGTGTGACCATGTTGTGTTACTGTTGGAATATTAGGAAAGGTATGTGGGAATTGAGAGGTTTGTGATTGTCTGCCCTGTAATATGTCTTATATGGTGGTGGTGGTGGTGATGTGTTGTGGAGTCGATTCTGACTCATAGTGACCCTGTATAGGGTTTCCAGAGCTGTAAATTTCCATAGGAACAGAAACTTCATCTTTCTCCCACAGAACAGCTGATAGTTTCAAACTGCTGACCTTGAGGTTAGCAACCCTACTTGTAACCACTACACTCCCAGAGCTCCTACACAGTGCTGATTAACAGTGCTTTTCCACAGTTACCCAGAGGACAGCTAGGTGTAGGGCAGTAGTTTCTGAACTAGTTTTGTGTGTTTGTTTGTTCTTTGTAGTAGTGTTTTCCTTTTAAGAAATAAAATCTTACCCAGAAACAAACACATAAAATATGCTGAGGGTTGAAACTGCTCTAATTGGAGGGTCATTCTGTGGTTTCTGTCTCACCACCACGTGCTCCAAGTCCCACCTGCTGAATCTTCTTCTAAGATTCCCCAAAGATCCTGAGACACTGCCATAGACCCCAAGGGTGACAGGGTGCGTAATTTGGGAAGCCCTAACCTAGGAGTCCTCTAAAGCACTTCACAACAACAACAACAACCCTAGGAGTCCTTTGGTTCCTAATCCTGGCCTCATGGTCACTGTAGGCACATCACCATAACCTCCAAGCATTAGTCTCCTTGTCTGTGAAATAGATTTGGAATAAATAGTTCCTAAGACTCCTCCAGCTTTGGGATGCTGTGGCCCTGGGTTTCCATGATGAGGACACCATGACATGTTTGTGAGTTCGGATACAGGCATGGAGTGTTTAGAGAGGTGCTTGGGGATTGGGTGGATATGCAGTTAGTCTCCTTTAGATCACCATACCTTGATTCTGACTCCACTAATGATGTACCCTTTCTCATAATTTGACTCACCACCACCACCACCACCACCACTGCCCCACTCAACTCTGAGTTGTAGGGGAGGAGGTGATAAGCAAGAGGAAAGAGAAGTGGCAAAGAGGAGGAGGTGTTGTTCCTTACTGTAATGGAGAGCATCTCAGGGCTACTGTTCCAGTTTCCAGAAACATCTGAGGCTTTGGTCAAAGCAAAAGTGAATTACCGGTTCCCTCTACCCACAAAGGCAACATCTTTGGATGTTGACTGGCAAGTTCACTGTCCTCATAATCATCCAAAGATGTTTCTTGTGAAATCTCTGCTTTGATTTGGGCTTTATGTGTGACACAAAGACGGAACCTGATAATTTCTTCTTAAAGGCAAACAAACTGAGTAAGGCTAGCATGTCCTACCTAGACATAGACTGTGGATAGGAAAACCATCACCAGACTGGACACTTCATTAAAGTCTACCTTGAATAGTTAAAAAGGAAAGTCAATCAATCTAGGTCCCTTTTTCCAGTCAAAAGGGAAGAGGAAAGAAAACTGATTAGGGCTCACCTACCTTTCTCTGGACCCACATTTAGGAAATTACACAGAACTACTGTTTTCTTTCATGATCCTTCGTCCCACCATGAAGATGCAATGAAGGAAGTAGATCATCATGCTCCATTTAGACTCATGTTGGCAATTTATCTTTGAGTCACACTCTAGCTTCATTCTAACAAGGAACAATGGATTGGAGCCATTTTCTTACACCTCTGCACAATTCTCTTAACATTTATCTGAGATCGCATGTGTGGAGAGATGAAAGAAGTAAACACTCATGCTAAAGCCACATCCTTGCAATTTTGCTACCTCCTGCCTTAAACATCTCCCCCAAACTTAATGTGCAAATGAGATGAATTGAGGATTGCCTTGCCTTTAGTTCAGGATGAGTACCCACTTGGAGACAGATACTCAATCCTTATTTGACTTGAAAATACTTAACTCCCCCACTCTGTTTTGAACTGAGAGAATTAATGCATAAATTGATGTCAACATTCAAAATAAAGCTAATTTTATCTGTAAAATATACTGATGCTATAATGACACCCCTTAAGATGACCAAAGGGAGAGCAGTTGAAAGCCCACTCTGGCCTTAGTATTAGAAAATAGGTTAGTTGGTTGGTTGGTTAGTTGTGTGGCATCGAGTTGATTCCAATTCATAGTGACCCTTCATAGGGTTTCTGGTGCTGTGTGTAAATCTTTACAAGAGCAAAAGGCCTCATCTTTCCCCCATGGAGCAGCTGGTAGATTCAAAGTACTGATCTTGCAGTTACCAACCCAATTTGTAGCCTACTATACCACCAGGACATAGAGTAGATTTTTGAAATTTTTGAATATTTAACAAGATGATTTGATAAAGGCTCAAGGGATCCTGAATATATATGCACTGATTGATAAATGACATGGGGAGGGGGGAGTGTTTGAAAATGAGAATAAGCTTCTAAAAGGCATTAGGAGATACATTTAGCAAAGAGCAAAGAGCTGGTAGCAACCTGAGACCTGTCATCAGGGGAATAGGGCAACATTTAGTAGCATCAGATTTCCTCATCCTGTGGCACTAGCAGGGCAGTTAGTTTGTGCTTGAGGGAAGCACATGAAGAAGAAATCGTGTGTGATGAGGCCCAAAGCTTTGAAATTGATAGCAGAGCCCTTGAGGGAAGAGAAGAGGAATTAGGAAGAGCGTTAAAGCTGATGTATACAAGGCAGATGCCTGGGGGGCTTCAAATTGAGCCATAGTGGAAAGACTTCAACTTTCAGTGTTACTTGAAGTGACATTGAACTAAATCCTCAAATCATCACTAGCTTTAGTCCCCTAGACAAGTTACTTCACTTTATTTAATCTCAGGTAAACACCACTTGTTTGACATTTTGTCATACTTGCATGTTGCTGTGATTCTGAAAGCTATACCACCGGTATTTTAAATACCAGCAGGGTTACCTCTGGTGGACAGGTTTCAGCTTCCAGACGAAAGGGACCCCATCTCTAAGATTAGATTGCTTGAAGTATTTGGCATAATCTTTACAATAAATATCTGGCACAGAATAAACTCATAAAGTGTTATTAGGGTGTGTGTGTTTTTCATTAGTGATAATGTATTATTAATAATAATTACTGTTGTTAAGTATCATGAACATTTGTAAACTCTTGATGAGGTAGGTTAACATTAGCAGGAACCAAAGAAATAAATCTCTAGTGGAGTAATTTCAATTATCTGGCTAAACTAGTACAGGAATCTATCAGAAGACACATAGTAATATCAGCTCTGGAATGGTAGGAAGTATTATGGTAAGAGATTAACATGTAAAATGAAATAGGGTCTAGGTGCTTCGTTAATAGCACAGGACCAATTAGGATCAGGAGGCCCAGTGCCTAGGCTCACAAGAGTTTTAATCTTAATTTCTTTTAAAATCAGAAGAAAGTGAAATATAATAATACTAATATATTAATGGAGTCCTAGGAGTCCTGCTGTGGCACTGTGGGCTAATGCATCAGACTGCAAAGTCATTTGAACTGCAAGGTCTGTGGTTCAAGTTCACCAGCTGCTCCTTGGAAACCCTATACAGGGTTGCTATGGGTTGGAACCGACTCAACGACATTTAGCAACAACAATATACTAATGGGAGTCCTGGTGTGGTGCTGTGGGTTAAAGCACTGGACTGTAAAGTCGGTTTGAACATCAAGGTCAGTGGTTTAAGCTCACCAGCCGCTCCTTGGAAACCCTATACAGGGTCACCGTGGGTTGGAACCTACTCGACGGCCCTGAACAACAACAACAATATACTAATACTAATAATGAATCCAGCATGGGTTTCATTTGTCTTTATACTAACACACGTTTAAGATGTAATTCTTAATAATTTTTTGAGGAAGGGGTCAGTGAAGGCAGAGGTGCTTTCCGTGACATTTTGATGAAGTTCCTTTTAAAAATCTCAACCTGACACGTTATTTGGGTGTTTGTGCTTTTACAGTTCTCCCTTAAATCAGGTTCCTTTTTACCACAAGACCTGGAATAGGTTTTAGTTCTGCCACTATTTCTTGAGCCTTGAACAAACTATTTCAATGTCTTCCACTTAGGTTTCTCATCTATAAAATATGCCTTTTAAGAACTGGACCCTGGTCTTTACTTACGTTAGTGTAACTTACACTCCTAATGCCTGGCATAGCCTCTCTCATATGTTGTTGTTGTTAAGTGCTGTCGAGTTGGTTCCAACTCATAGCAGCCCGGTATAGGATTTCCAAAGAACAGCTGGTGATTTCGAATCTCCAACCTTGTGATCCAAACCAATTTGTAGTCCAGTGCTTACTTGTGCCACACCAGGAACTCCAGTTAAATGAGCTTGTAGAATGCCACTGTGGAGGTGTGGTGCTGTGAGCTAATGTGCTGGACTGCAGCATCAGTTTAAACCACGAGGTACAGGGTCAGCATGAGTCAGAACTGACTCGGCAGCAGTTAATAACGACAATGTCATTGCAGAAATATCACGGGGTTTGGAGAGTACCAGTGTGGGCTGTGCAATTTAGCATCCATGTAGTCTGAGTAAATCAATTAATCTCATTGTTCCTGATCTGTAAAATTGTTGTTAAGTGCTGTGAAGTCAGTCCTAACTCATAGAGACCCTATACATAGGGTTTCTATGAGCAACTGGTAAGTTTGAACTGCCAAGCTTGTGCTGAGAAGTCCAGTGCTTACCCTACAGCATTACACCAGGACCCTGATATGTAAATAGGGATATAAAAAAAATCTGCCTTTAAGGATTGTTAAATGCTGTCACAGGGCTGTTGTTGCTAAGCGCTGACTCATAATAACCCTGTATAAGGTTTCCAAGGAGCAGCTGTGGGTTTGAACCCCTGACCTTATAGTTCAAATTAACCTTACAGAACGTGCTTGTCCTACAGAGCCACACCAGGACTCTACTCTCACAGTAGGTTCTTTTAAACTATTAGACCTTCCCTCCCTAAATCCCTTCATTGCTTTGTGTTTCCATGAGACAGTCAGTGTCCAGAATACTAGCAAATGACTATCCTCAGGATTGGTCACATCCTTGTTCCCCAAACCTATTCACTGGAAAATGCTCTGCTGACCACTACTGGAAGGCTCTTAAGCAATCACTCATTGTTTTTCATTGGAGCCACATAGCCAGTAATGGTTGTTTGCAAACCATATTCTCTGGACTGAACAAAGATTGTGGAGAAACAACAAATTTCCTGGGAAACCCAACTATAATTCCTAGGGGCTTGGGGTGAGCATCACAACATGAGGAGAACTGGTGATGCACTGGTTGAAGTGCTTGGATATTTAACCAAAAGGACAATGGTTCACCTCGCCAGACACTCTGGAGAAAGATGTGGCAGTCTGCTTCTCTAAAGGTTTACCACCTTGGAAGTCCTATGCAGCAATTCTACTCTGTGGGCCTTTTGGGTTGGTTTTGTATTATCACAACATAGCTTGGTCATACTACGGAGCTCCCTGTCACTCCCCTTTCTCTTCCCAGTCAAAAAAACATACTGGAATGCAAGTGAGTGAGAACCTATTTGGAAATAACTTTGAATCTACTCTAACTTATGTTAAAATAGAAGGATAAATTATCCTCAAATTTCAAAGCTATCTCTATCATTGTTGTTGTTATTAAGTACTGTGGAGTCAGTTCCAACTCACAACGACCCTATACAGGGTTTCTGAGGAGTTGCTGGTGGGTTTGAATCACCGACCTTGCAATTAGCCATCCAGTGCTTATCCTACAGCACCACATCAGGATGCCATAGTTGTTAATGTTAAGTGCTGTCAAGTTGGATATGACTCATAGCACCACTATATGAGGTTTCCAAGGACTAACTGGTGTGTTTGAACTTCTGACCTTGCAGTTAGCAGCCCAGTGCTTATACTATGGTGCCACACCAGGAACTTTAGGAACTTCTGGTGCCGTAGAATCAGCACTTGACTGCAAGGTCAGTTTGAACTGTAAGGTTGGTGATTCAAACTCACCAGCTGTTCCTCAGAAACCCTATAGAGGGTTGCTGTGAGTCAGAACTAACTAACAGCATTTAACAACTTAACATCTCACCTCACTAGAATCCTGCTGTGGCACTATAGGATAAGCACTGGGCCATAAGATCAGTTTAAACTGTAAGGTCAGCAGTTCAAACCCACCAGCCACTCTTCAGAAACTCTATACAGGGTCACTATGTGTCAGAACCAACTCATAAGCACTTGACAACAACAAAACATCTCACCTCCCAATGTCCTGATCCCTGCTTCAGAAGCACTGTCCCAGGTTAGGTAGGCTGCTGCCTGCTTCATCTGCATCAGAATCAATTCTCTGGTCTGGTGTGGTGCTTTAGGACAAGATTGGTGGTTCAAACCCATGCAAGGTTTGAGTCAGAACCAACTTGACACTTAATAATAAAAAGAGGATGAATGGAGCCTTAGGTGCTCTGGTAGCGTAGTGGTTACGAATCGGGCTGCGAACCTCAAGGTCAGCAGTTTGAAACTACCAGCTGTTCCGCGGGAGAAAGATGAGGCTTTCTGCTCCAGTAAAGATTTACAGCCTCGGAAACCCTGTACAGGGTGGCTATGAGTCGGAACCAACTCCACGGCACATAACAACAACAATGGAGCCCTGGTGTTGTTGTAGGATAAGCAGCGGGCTGCTTATCTCAAATGGGCAGTTCAAACCCACCAGTCCATCCGTGCTGGAAGATGACGCTGTCCACTCCCATAAAGATTTTCAGCCTCAGAAGCCCTATACAGGGTCACTGTGAGTCCAAACTGACTCGATGGCCGTGGGTTTGGGGTTTTGGGTTGTTGTTATGTTTCTTTTCTAAAGAGCACTGAAAGGAACCTTGGCAGTGCTGTAGGATAAGCACTGATTAGCAGTTTAAATCCTCCGGCTTTCCCCGGGAGAAAGATGAGGCTGTCTACTCCTGTATAGATTTACAAACTCAGAAACCCCAACGAGCAATTCTACACTGTCCCAAAGGGTCAATATAAGTCAGAACTGATTTAATAAGGGTGAGTTTTAAAGGGAGCTGAGGCAGTAAGTTCCCCACAAGGGAACTTTTCATGATTGGAGCTGAATTTCTGGTCTACCTCAGAGCCTTGCTTTTTCAGCCAATTGTCTCTGGAGTCAGCTGCAGTCACCTCTCTCAAGCTGACAGCTCTGACCTTAATACCTTCCTGTGAGTAAGGTTCAGAAGTGTGTGTGCGTGTGTGTGTGTGTGTGTGTGTGTGTGTGTGTGTGTGTCTGTGTGTGTCCCCAGGGACTTGTTGGCATTGTCTGAGGGTGTTTCTTCAAGCTTTCCCAAGATCTTAATGAGAAGTTAGTGACCAGGACATGGACTTTTTAATGTTTTTGTGTAGGACCAGCAGCCTCTGGAGACCTGAAGAAGGTAGTAGGTGCCATTGATGGGTCTGTGACTTTCCCTCTAAACTCGATACCACATGTTGGCAGCATTGTCTGGATCTTCAACACAACACTTGTGACCTACGAGCCGCCACAAAATGGCAGTTCAGCTACTTTCATAGTGAGCCAAACCCATAAAAAGGGAAGAGTGAGCTTCCCAAATGACGAGTACACCCTGAAGCTCAGCAAACTGGAGAAGAGTGATTCGGGGATCTACAGGGCGGAGATACACAGCTCACACCAATCTTCACCAATTCGCTCTCAGAAGTTTGTGCTGAATGTCTATGGTAAGCTCCAAAGATGGATGGCTATCTTGGTGAGGTGGTGAGCTCTTTGACATTGGGGGTGTTCAAGCAGAGGCTGAGTAAACACTTGTCGAGAATGTGAAAGAGGAGATTCCTGTGGGAATAAAATTACTATAGCTAGCTCCTGAGGCCCCTTCCTACTTACAGACTCCATAACAGGCAGTGTGGTAGAGCAGTAAAGTAGTGGGGATTAAGAGGTACACAGATCTAGGTCAAACGGTGGCTTCTCTACTTACTAGTCACATGACCTTAAACAAGTGCTTAACCTCTTTGAAACTTAAATTCTGTATCTGTAGTGGAGAGGGAATAATACCTACATTAGACTTAAATACCGATAAGATTCCTTCTGCTACAGATTTAGACCATTTGAGAAGCAGACACAAGAACCAGAAGATAAAAATATCAGCTTTGTTTCTGATACATCTGATAAATAGGAGAAACACCTCCCCCTAAGTCTAGGTCAGATAATACACCCAGGGAAGCTGAACTTACAAGACAATTGGAAAACCAGCTACAAGAGGAATCATTGCCTCACACACATTAAACCCTAATATGGACACAAGGAGATGGGCCCCCAGACTTACTGATAGCAAGCAGGCCTTGCACCTTGAGCCAGATGTGTGTTCCATATCTTGGTGGTGTGCCATGCAGTTGGTTCTGACTAATAGCAACCCTGTATAGGGTTTCCAAGGCTGTAAATCTTTATGGGAGCAGAAAGTTTCCTCTTTCTCCTACAGAACAGCTGGTAGTTTTGACTGCTGACCTTGAGGATAGCAGGCCAACTTGCAACAACTACACTATTAGAGCTCCTATGTTCCATACGGACATAGTTAAAGGAAGGAAATCCACATTCTGCAGATAAGTTGGCCTGGAAAGAAAGAAAAGTCCAAATCTCAAGGGAACAAGCACTTTTAACAACTCACCTCCTATTAGCCATATAAGGCCCACAATTCATTTGTGCCAAGGCAACCACAGTTCCAGCCCCCACATTGGTGGTGGTGGTGGTAATGTGCTATGGAGTCACTTCCGACTCATGGTGTCCCTGTATAGGGTTTCCAAGGCTGTAAATCTTTACAGGATCAGAAAGCCTTATCTTTCTCCCTCAGAACAGTGGGTGATTTTGAACTTCTGACCTTGAGATTAGGAGCCTGACTCGTAACCACTATGCTACCAGAGCTCCTTGGCCATCATGTTGTTATTAAATGCTGTTGAGTCTGTTCTGACCCATTAGTGACCCTGTATAGGGTTTCTAAGGAGCTACTGGTGAGCTTGAACTGCTGACCTTGCAGTTCAAATGGCTTTACAGTCTAATGCATTAACCCACAGCACCACACCAGGACTCCCAGCCATAATATTAGGGGTGAGTTAATTAAATGTTTGACCAAATACAGCAGGCTGATTTTTAAGTTGATAATGTTGCATGGTCCTGCTGTGGCGCTGTAGGTTAATGCACTGGGCTGCAAGGCCAGTTTGAGTCACAAGGTTGGTGGTTCAAGCTCACCAGCTACTCTTTGGAAACCCTATGCAGGTCTCAAGTTCACCAGCCACTCTTTGGAAACCCTATGCAGGGTCACCATAAGTCAGAACAGACTGATGGCACTTAGCAACACCAACATGAATGATGTTATAAATTTTGGCAGAAAAAAAGGTTCCCAATGCCTGCCTTAGAGGCATATAGATAATGAATGTCAGCCTCTCACCAATTAACCAATTGCTTATCCTCTCAGGGGAAGGAGTGAGCACAAGGTAGAGATAGGGAGAGATGTGTTACTCTATTACTAACTTTTCCCAGAGAGTAAAGTTAAATCTCTTCAAGGAAGCCTAAAGACAAGAAGGGTGAACGTCCCCAGCAAAAGATAAACCAAGCTAGCATATAAAAGTCCATCCCGTTAGCACTGTTGTTGTTGTGAAATACCGTCATGTTGGTTCGGATCCATAGTGACCCTGTATAGGGTTTCTGAGGAACACTGGTGAGCTTGAACCGCCGATCTTGCAATTCAAGCAACTTTGCAGTCTGGCGCATTAACCCACAGCGCTACACCATTTGGTTATACTTAGTAAGTGCAACTGCGTTGTTTCATTGTTGTTATTTTCTATTATTACTGTAGTTGCTGTCATTACTATTATTATTATATAGCTGTGGGTAAGCAGACCTAGATAGTTCTCTTTCCCAGATAATAATAAGAATTTTTTTCTGAATTGCTACTTCCGCCAACTCAGGAGCACCCCAAAGAAGTTCAGGTCCAAGACAGCCAGGGATTATTCAGAGCAAAACATAGTTTTCACCCTTCATTGTCAATTTCTCTTTACAGAACACTTGTCAAAGCCCAAAGTCACCATAGGTCTGCAGAATAAAATGAATGGCACCTGCATGGCCAATCTGACATGCTCCATGGAACAGCAAGGAGAAGATGTTACTTACAGCTGGGAGTCCAAGGAGAAAGCAGAAAATGAGTCTCAGGAAGGCGCCATCTTCCCCATCTCCTGGAGCCTAGGGAAAAGGAACATGACCTTCATCTGCATAGCCAGGAACCCTATCAGCAGAAGCTTCTCAGATCCTATCTCCTCTTGGAAGCTCTGTGAAGGTACCTCTCTTTCCTCTCTCCAGGAGCCTTTGGTTCCAGGACCTTTCCAGTCCTTGGTCTCCATGGGAACAGTTCTTGTAATCCAACTGGGAAGTCACTGGGCTGGGAGGAAAGCGGTAGTAGCTCCAACATTCAGACTGTTTGCCCTAGCTGATCCTCTTCCCTTCCCTGTGCCCCCATCCATTCTCTCTTTAAAGGTGCTGGTGGTGACATAGATGCTTCCATGGTTTTCCTGTACCTTCTGCCGGTGTTACTGCTCTGTATCGTTATTCTGGTACTCATTATTTTCCTCATCCAGAGATACAGAAGAAAAGGTTTGGACTTCTTAAAGTGGAACAAGCACTATTCTTTCTCTCATTCTCATTAACACATTTGCTCGCTTTTTTATTCAACAAGCATATATTAAGTTGTGTACCTGGCTTGATATAGCCACTAAAGATACAGAGATAAAGAGGCCCTAGACTTTCCTGGCATGGCAACACAGTCAGCCTGCAGCCCTTGGTTCTAAGGTAGAGAGTACTTGAGTCCTAAACTCCTCTCCTAAAGACGTGGAGTCCCCACTCCTTGCTCATTCCTGTCCCTCCTCTGGAATTCATGGTTTGACCCACTCAGTACTGCCAATTTTGCTTCACTGATCTGGCAGGTGATGGTCTCCAACTCTGAAGTCTCCAAATAACAAGTGACAAATTGGGGGTATGAAATAAGTGGAATATTCCTCAGAGATAATCATTGTGATCCATGGAGAAGCAGCCTCATATCAGCCCTGCCTAGTCCCTCCCTGTCAGAGTCCCCAGACAGTCACAGCCCTCTCCAATGGATCAATCCCAGAGACCTCTCTTTATCCCCACCTCAACGTAGACACAGCATGGAGAAATCTTAAAAGGCCAAGAGGTGAATCAATCCCTCTTTCTCCATCTTGCATCCCATGTTCTGTGTCCCTACACCCAGCTGATCTGGCTTCTCAGTCTCCTACTGATTGGAAAGGGTCTTAAGCATCTGTTGTGTATGATATGCAGACTTTCAGATCTTCCTTCTTTCTGAGAAGCACTCTGTAAGTATTTCTATCCTCCTCTGTTTCCCACTGAGGTTGCCTCAGTGCAGAGAGCAGGAGGTAAAGTGAGGAAGGTAACAAATTCATCCTGGCTTTTCAGGGACTATCCTGGTTTTAGCACTGAAAGTCCTGCATCCTGAAAAGCCCTTCAGTTCCAGGAAAACTGGAATGGTTGGTTACCCTAAGTATGTCATTGAGTGGAATGATAGGCCAATGGGGTGAGCAGTGAGTGGTTGGAAAGGTTATCTCTGATTCTCTCCCAAATTTGTTTCAGAGGTCATTGAAGAGAAGAAGGGAACGGAAATACATCAAGTCATTCCTAACATCTGCTCCCATTCAGGAGGGAACACACTGTATGACACAATTTCTTACACAAATGTGAGTTCTTTCTCATCTTTCCCAGGGGTTGTTTCTGCTCTCTGAGGTCCTCCTTGTTTTACTTGAGATTTTTCCATGAATTTGGGCCATGTGAGGGTAGAAAGTTGGGTAATTCTTGAAACTACCTGTTCTCCTTCACGTTCTCTTGAACGTGCCTGTTCTCCCTCTAGTCTTTTTTGGATTCTCTCTTGTGCAGGAACTGGTGACCTTCAGAGCACCTAGTTCCACCCCAACCAGTATTGCTCACGTGCGATCCATGGAATTGTCCCCTATTCCCTGTAGTTCACTGTAGTTCAATATAGCCTAATTCCTCTCGCAATGGTACAGAACAGAGGGTAGAGAACTATGACTTCAACATTCTGTTAGAGTCATGGTATCAGACAATCCTCTGGAGATGCCTTTCTCCTCTGAGATGACTCAAGGAACATCAGAAGGGAGTCAGAGGGTCCACAGGGTTTCAGGGTGCACACTCAAGCTCCTTAAATTGGGTCACTAAGTTGAAGTGAATGAACACAAACTTAATTCAAAGGAAACTCTCTATAAAGAAAATCATAAGAATAACACTTAAATAAAACCAAATAACAAGAGACAAATTGGGGGCATGAAATAACTGGAATATTCCTCAGAGATAATGATTGTGAACCAGGTTGACTGAGCTTGGTAGAAGTCATAGACACCTTTCCCACAGTGGTCAATTTAATAAAGAAATAAAAAGATTTTCATGCCTCAAAACCCTTACTTTACTACAGCTTTCAGTTGTCTCCTCATCTGGTTAAAGAAGATAAATTATGTTTCCTCATCCAGTGTGTTAGTATTCGGATAGTTCCGTCCTTTTCCCCCAGGAAGACTGCTTTGTGGTCCATTCAGCCTGACTTCAGTCCCGTTATTACCATCCCCGCTCCTCCCTTGCTCAATAGCATCCCCAGGAGGGCACAAGACTGTCCTTGATGTTCAAGAATAAGTCTAATTGACCCAAGATGTTTTTCTCCAATTGGGAAAGAGCTTTTTATTATTTTCGTTTGATTTTTATTTTTTGTTTTGTTCAATCAGTCATACTTGGTGTGGTGCTGTGGGTTAATGTGCTGGACTGCAAAGTCAGTTTGAATGATAGGGTCAGTGGCTCAGCTCACCAGCCGCTCCTCGGAAACCCTATTCCAGATCGCTATGGATCGGAACCTACTGGACAGCACTTAACAACAACTACATTCAGTCATACTTACTGAGTTGTCTCAAGGGCTCTTTTGGCTGATAGAAAGATTTATTTGTAGCATAAACATCATAATTTAAGATTGTTCTTTAACTACTTTCTAGTAAACCAGTTGTTATCATGTCAATGCTGATTCATGGCGACACCACTTGTATCAGAATACAGTCGTGCTCCATACAGTTTTCAATGCTGGTTTTTGAAATTAGATGACCAGACCATTCTTCTGAGGCATCCCTGGGTGACCTCCAACCTCCAGCCTTTTGGTTAGCAGTCCAGTGCATTAACCACTTGCAACACCCAGGGACTGCTTAACCACTTTCCCAAAACTCACTGCCATCAAGTTGATTCTGACTCATAGCAACCCTATGTAGGGTTTCTGAGGCTGTAAATCTTTATGAGAGCAGAAATCTTCCTCTTTCTCCTATGGAGTGGCTGGTGGATTCGAACAGCTGACTTTACAGCTAGCAGCCCAATGAATAACCCACTGCACTACTAGGTTTCCTTCTTAACCACTTTAGAAGACTCATATGAATTTTAAAAGATTTAAGTTCTATAAATTATGAGCCTCCTAGAGACTCATAATTCAAGGAAAGTAAATATTTTTAATTCATTCCAATAGAACAATTTATCAATAGATAAATCAATTGCTTCCTAAGAAAAAAGTATTAATAAGTATTATTATAGTAATCAATTTAACAAGCACATCCCCACTATGCTATCCTGTTTCCGCACCTTCTCTTCCCTCTCTCTATCTCCTTCCACCTTTGTTTCCACCTCTATGTAGCTTAGAAGTGAGTGATGATTTCTTTTGTTTGTTTTTGTTTTCTCAATAGAAACGTACCCCAGAGGAAGATACAGTGAATACACTTTATACCATCGCCCAGGTACCAAAACAGGTAAGAATCTTTACAATTGAGTTGTGTCCTACTTGCTCTATTCATTTTCCTGATTCATGCTCAGGTTTAAATTTCTTGGACCCCAGGGATCTCATACAATCTGGTGCTAAAAGGTACCCCAGTATTTCCTTATTCCTTTTGCTCATTCTGAATTACATCAGAATATGGGGAATAGGAAAGAATTGTGTTTTAGAAGTTGAATAGGATAATCTTAGAGTAGGGGAGAGTTCTAGGTAGAAATGATAAGAAAACTCAGAAAGATGTGGATGAAGAGCAAGAAAATGGCCAAGGCTGTTCATAAGGTGGGAGGGATAGCTGGAAGGAGACTCTAACTTTCTTCTGAACCACCAATAAACTGAGGAGGGAGAGATTTCTGCTTCTTTTCCTCCAGCTATGTTACACTCCTCCCATTCAAACTAATAATAGGGAAAGCTTTAAGGCTTATTCCTCTACCAATCAAACTTGGCAGAAGCAATAAAACCTCCCTGTATCCTGTCCCTTCCTCTCTCAACTAATCAGGAAAAGTGGGAATCATTAAGCAGTTTGCTTAGTGAGAGGAAAGACTGGTTCTGATGGATTATTGGGAGGAAAGTTGAGTTCATTAGAAATCCAGCAAGATAAGCATGGACTCAACTCAAAGAATAGTTTTTGTCAAGTAGGAAGTATTTTAGTGTCTCTGGATAGTGCAAATGACTCCTGGTGTGGCTCTGTAGGATAAGCACTGGATGGCCAACCATAGGGTCAGTGGTTCAAACCCACCAGCTGCTCCTTGGAAACCCTCTAGAGGGTCTCTAAGAGTCAGAACAGACTCCACAACACTTAACAGCAACAAAAGTAGGGTGTTACAAATAGTTAAGCACTCAACTGCTAATGCAAAGATTTGAGATTTGAGTCCACCCAGAGGCAGCACAGAAGAAAGGGTTGACAATCTAATTGAAGAATCAGCCATGGAGTACCCTAGGGAATACAGTTCTACTCTGATACACATGAGGTCACTGTAAGCCAGAATCAACTCCATGGCAATTGGTAACTGGTAGGAAGTATTAAGCGATGGGAGAAAGCACCGTGTGATATTTGAGTTAGACAACCTTAGAGTCAGGGCCCATTGTAGGAGAACCAGATTCCTACCACCTCCAGCACACCCCCTCCATCTCTCTGTATCCTTCTGTTTGCCTAACAGGTGGAGAAATCTCACAAAATACCCACGACTTTGGACACAGCAGGGCTATTTCCTCATGAGACTATCATCTGAACAGCAGTGTACTCTCCTCACATCTCATCTCAAAGAAAACAACAAAAGAATTCGCTGACTTCATCAGGAACATTGGAAGAAGAAGCACTGATTTCCTTCTACAGTTAAGCTAACTCTGCATTCCTGGGACCATCCTTTATGCATCTTCAGATTTCAGAGTTCACACTTCTACCAATTGGACTGTGAACTACAAGGACCGTGGTTCGAGCCCACCAGTCACTGTGTGAGAGAAAGATGAAGTTTCTGTTCCTGCAAAGATGTAAAGCCTCAAAAACCCTATACAGGGCCACTATGAGTCAGATCCAACTTGAGGGCACTTAACAACAATAACAACTCTACCCAAAATGGCTGAAACATCTACAGGGAACTGCCAGAACTTCAAGCCGGGTTCAAAAGAGAACCTAGATTTAGGGATATCATTACTGATGTCAGCTGGATCTTGGTTGAAAGCAGAGAATACCAGAAAGATGTTTACTTTTGCTTTGTTGACTATGCAAAGGCATTTGACTGTGTAGCTAATGACAAGCTATGGATAACGTTGTGAAGAATGGGTATTCCTACACACTTAATTGTTTTCGTGAGCATAGACCAAGCCATTTGAACAGAACAAGGGGATACGAGTGGTTTAAAATCAGGAAAGGTAGGTGCCAAGGCTGTATTATTTAGTATGAATGTTAAACAAATAATCTGACAAGATGGATATTATACGAAGAAGACTGTAGCATCAGGATTGAGAAAGACTCATTAGGAACCTGTGATATGCAGATGATACAACCTTACCTTGCTGGAAGAGAAAAGAGCTTAAAATATTTACAGATAATGATCAAAGACCACAGACTTCAGTATGAACGACACCTCAATGTAAAGAAAACAAAAATCCTCACAAGACCAATAAATAACATCACGATAAATTGAGAAAAGATTGAAGTTGTCAAAGGCTTCATTTTGCCTTGAAAATTTGCATGAAAACGGCAATCAAGAAATCAAAAGACATAATTGCCTTAGGTAGATCTACTGCACAAGCCTCATTAAAGTGTTCAAGAATAAAGATATCAGTTTGAGAATTACGGTGCACTTATCCAAGCCAAGATATTTTCAATCACCTCATATGCATGTAAATAGTTGGACAAGAAGGAAAACGATAGGAGAATTGATGCATTTGAGTTACCGTTTTAGAGAAGAAAATTGCAAGTACCTTGAACTTCCAGAAGAACAAACAAATCTGTCTTGGAAGAAGTACAGCCAGCATGCTCCTTAGAAGTGAGAATGGTGAGACTTTGTCTCTCATACTGCAGACGTGTTATCAGGAGGGACCAGTCCCAGGAGAAGGACATCGTGATTGGTAACTTGAAGGGTCAGAGAAAAAGAGGAAGATACCCAAAGACATGGATTGGCACAGTGGCAACAACAATAGGCTGAAGTATGACAACCATTATAAGGTTGGCTTAGGACCAGACAGTGTTTTGTTCTGTAGTGCATAGGGTTATTATGAGTCGGAACTGACTTGACAGCTCCTAACAACAACAATTCTACCCCTAAGAAATCTCCTCACTACTCCTTCCTAGAAATGTTGGTTTTTTGTAAGGCATCCCCAAGAAAGGGGCTTGCAAGTGTCTTTGTTGCAAGTATTAATGACTGCCTCTGTCCTATGTTGAACCAGTGCATTCAGGGCTTGGGTGTTGGGAATATACAAAGAGCCAAGGACTATACCAGGAGATCAAGAAGGCTGGAACAGACAAATCCAGCAGAAGCAGAGGTACTTGCTATCAAGTTCATCCAGACTCACAACAAGCTTACAGGACAGGGTAAAACTGCCCCTTAGGGTTTCTAAGCCTGTAATCTTTATTGAAGCAGACAGCACATCTTGCTCCTGTGGAGTGGCTGCTGGGTTCGAACCACCAAAATTTCAGTTAGCAATTGAGTGTTTTAGCCACTGTTCCACCAAAGATCTTTAGAAGCAGACATAGCAGTCAAAATGGATTAAACAACCAAAAAATAAGTATTAATCATCCATTTTGAGTTTGACACTGAGTTGAGCTTAATCTGATTGGTCAGGCAATGCTTTCTGAACTCGTGAAATTGGCTCCTTATAAACTACTATCATGGGAAGCTGTGGCAGGCATGACCATAGATTCCCAACATCCAGAGGAGTCAAGTGTGGACCAACAGGAGTTGGGAATCAAAGTATTCAAGGACTGAGAATCTACACAGAAGAGTAGTTTGGGCTGGAACAATCAAGATTCAGACTTCTAGCCTCATTAATACTTTTGTACTGCAAATGACAAGCCCAGAATTTAAAGCTTGTATACTTGACCACCTCATAGGGGACACTGAGGCTGAAGGCACATTTTGATTCTAGGATACAAGACCTGGGGTTGAAAAGGGGTGTTTGCTTGCAAAAGTTTAAAGTCACTTAATTTTTCAACAAATATTTATTGAGAACCTTTCCTAGGTCAGTCTGGCCTAGGACAAATATAATTTCTTCCCCCATTGAGTTCATCTTTTTAATGCAGTGAAAAACATGGGAAGGAAAGGAGTTTGCTCTGACATGTATCTTAAGTGAAGATACTGGGAAGAGATTTGATGTCCCAGAAGTAAGATGAAGATATGTGCGTGACAAATGGTGAAAAGATAAAATAACCAGAAAAAGAAACTTCCAGTATCAGATGGCTAAGGCAAGAGATAATGAACATTGTAGAGAAAACTAGCAGGAAGGAGATTGAAGATGTGTTGAGAGGAAACTAAGATTGGAAGTAGATTATAATCCTCTATTTTGAGGACAAGCATCATATTGTAAACATGCATATTTATTGCTTTATTTTCTGGGGAAAATCATCTTACAGTAATAAAACCATTATATCTTCAGGAAGGGGTGTTTTTTTCTAATTCTCATAAAGGTGGCCTCAGGTTCTGTGACTGAGGGGAGAACTATATAAATGGAACCAAAGTAAAAGTCAGGGCTTAGAACTTGTCCTATCCCAACTGAGTGGGGCTGTGGTGGGTCAAGGGTTGAATTCTCCCCTTCCATGTGGAAAACCCAGGTTTGATTCCAGCCAGTACACCTCAAGTGCATCTACCACCTGCCTGTCATTGGTGTTCTGTCTGTTGCTCTAAAGGTGAAGAGGTTTCAGCAGAGCTTTCAAATTAAGGCACACTAGGAAGAAAGGCCTTGTGATCTATTTAAAAGTCAGTCAACAAAAATTCTGTGGATCCCAATAGTCTGATATGCAACCAATTGTGAGGATGATGCAGAACCAGGCAGTGTTAGCTCTGTTGTCCATGAAGACTCAATGAAACATCAGCTGAATACCCATCAATGTGAGACCCACATTGATGGAGTCTACTGTGACACTGCACAACACAGTTCTTCTCGCTCCTTCAATTCAAAGTCAAGAAAGCCGTTAGGCACCTGAATTCACACTTAATTTACAGTGTTCCCCATTGAGATCACAGCCTTTCTGGGGGAGGTCTCAGGAGAAAATGCATCATTCAGATTCCACTAGCATTTGGCACCTTGTTGAATTTCTTCACCACAGGCAAATCTTTTGACACCCCATGACCTCCAGACCCTTGTTCAAAGGAAGTGGCTGACATACAAATTTGTTCTATAAATTCTCAGATAATTCCTGTAAGAAAAGCTGATCTAGAGTACATGTGTCCAATTTATAGGTGCTCAGTTGAAACTGGGAGATCTGTCTGTGGTTTCCCACTTCAGTATGGCAGAAACAAGGCTGAAATACAAGTAGTATCATTCCACTGCCCACTATCCACTGCAGGGCACAATGAAAATACAGTCTCAGACTCCTGTGGTTCAATGGGGAATGATTGCTATCAGGTCTGACAGTGACTGTTGGAAAGATAAATGTAAATGTTTGGTAACAAAAGGAGGGGAGTGGCTGATTTTGCAGTCCAGGAGCAGAGATCCCTGGAACCATCAAGGGAGAAAAGCGGAAGTGCAAGACCCTCTCTAGGGAGGCAGTAACACTAGGGATGGAAGCAGAGATGATGACCTAGACAGAAGAAGTGGCTGGGGACTCTGGACTCAGGGAGGGAGAGGAGTTGTATGCTGGCAGCTGGGGGGCAGGTGTGTGGGGTGTACCCTTTGATTGTTTGATGATGTATGCAGGGGATTGTGATCATTGCAATGAAACAAAGTACGATAGGATGAATGTAAAGATAATGTTCACCCATGTAAACTAACACATAATTCACAATAAAAACTTAAAAAATAATTTTAAAATACTTAAAAAATACAGTCCCAGCTGGAGAAGGGTAGAGCCTCTCTCCCCATGAAGGAGAGGAGTGAGCTTAAAGAGACAGGCCTAGGCCCAAATCCCCTTACTAGCTGAATGACCCTGACCAAAAACATGGGTTCCATGAGCCTCCATTTTCTTATCTCTAAAACCTTACAGGACTTACCATGAGGGGAGTAGAAGAAATTAATAAAAGTATCTGGCACATAGTAGGATAAGCTGGTGAGGCATTGTAGGATAAGCACTGGACTGCTAACCACAAAGTTGGCAGTTCAAATCCATCAGTCACTCCTTGGAAACTATACCGGGCTGCTATGAGTTGGAACTGACTCGATGACACACAACAACAACTGGGGATTTGCACATGGCATATGATTCTTGGGAAAAGAGATAGTACCCAAAACAACAAAATGGTTACACATTCCTAAAAGTCATCTTGGGGTAAGAGACAAGTAAAATAAAGAACCAACCCTTAAAAAGAGAAGTGCAAAAAAAGAAAAAAAAAAAAAGTATTCTCATACAATTTGATGAACTTGACCTACACCTATGGAAGCAGTAGCTCAAAAGAGGGAACAAGTCCTTAAAGCAAGAATCATTCCCACCCCCTCCACACACAGAGTAGACAGGGATGGGCAACTTGGACATTGGCTACCCAAAATGGGGGGTGGGGGACTACAAAGGCAAGAAGTGACTGGCTTACAAGCTTTCAAGAGGGAACCTAGATCCAGAGGGCCTGGAGGAAGGTAG